TCTCATTTACATTTGAGGGATATTTGATTAATATAGTAAATTTATTCAAACGCGTTTCGGTCTAATTCGCAGACCCTTTTCAGTGATAACAAGAAAAATACAAATATATATATATATATACAATAAAACAGTTGTCCATCACGGGAGTCAAAATAATAAGATGTCGTTAAACAACCTCGCTGACGGGAAACGGAGGTCAACGCAAAGGAACGAAAAGTGAACTTAGAAAATCTTTCAAGATCAACAGAACATATGGTGGAAGTAGTCCTTGTTAGTCCAAAAACGATATCCGTTACTCAACGAAGCACTTATTAGAGTGTCGTGATGTAAAAGTCTATTAAAATTAAAAAGAAGTAACAGTAGTAAAGATGAAATTTAGAAAATATCCCTCAAATGTAAATGAGAGTTGTGTCACTAATTTTTAGTTATAACAGCTGTACCTGAACTCGTAATGGCCCTTTATTCTACTACTAACAGCCTTGTTTGGTTAGTTAACCAAAAATCTTGTTAACTTAAATAGATTTCGGGTTACTTCTTTCGGAATTTCTGGATCGTTCATATCCGACCAGACATTTAATCGGCCAAATCTTCTTTTCCGTATAGAATGATAAAATGAAAAGAGAGATCAAAACTTGGCCGAGAGCCAAGGCCAGGTCAAGATCATTTCGTCATACGAAAGCTGAAATATCAAAATATCAGAGAGATTTGTCTCACAGATCATATTTCGTGTCGACTGGCGTATCAACGGGTCGTACGCTCGTTCGCATGCACGCTCGTCGATGAAACATCTCGTAAGTCTTCCTCCGGCGGAGTAATTACGAAACGAAACGACACAAACGACGAAGTTGATGACGGTGCCGTCGGTGCCGGTGATGGAGCGTACGCTCGTCGCTTGCTCCCATTATCAATTACAGCTCTCACGCACGGCGTGCGCCGGCGGGCAGAGGCGGATGTTCCTGCGGCGCACCGTTGGCCACGCCGCGACCGTGGAGAACCTCCGTGGATGTCCGCCGGCACATCCAAGGGTCAGCTGCGACGGTAACGGTGGCAATAACAGTAGCTACGACGATCTGGCCAATGATTCCGCATTGTTCTACAGCGGCAATAAATGCCAGTCGATCGCGCCGGGTGCGCCACTACGCTCTTCTTCCTTCTTCTGCTCGTCGTGGACGTTCCTCCTTTTACCGTCTCGGCCGCGATCGTGATCATGTACCGTACAGTCGTTGCGGTTTTCGAGCTTTTAATGCGATCGATTTGCCGGCATGCTGAAGCGCGCGAAGAATGGAGGACAGGGAAGAAAAAGGGCGAGGAAATGCATCTCTCGTCTAGGGATATGCGACTTTGCGACATATCGCAAGCACTGCGATTTTCTTTTCCTGAATCGCAATGTGATACGCAATTGGATCTTTATCGCAAAATCACGCCTGCAATTCAAAATCGCTCATCATTTTAACACTTTCAGGACGGGAGGCATCATTTGAAGGCTCTACGGTCTTCATGCGTGTATTTCAGAAACTATCGATCCGATATTCACAAAAATTGGTATGTAGGAGTTTTGTGGAGTGCTCTTTCCAAATTTGAAGTAAAAAAATCTAAAATTAAAAATGGCGGATTAAATATGGTGATTTTCAAGATACCAAATTAAATATGACTCAATTTCTGTGGAACTTCATACTCTCTAAAAAAGAAAACACTCAAAGATTTAGTAATCATATCGAGGCCCCACATATGATCCATATGGTACATATGGTACATATATGGATTATATATGAACCATTTTCGCAAGGGAGAGCACAAATGAACAGATGTGATCAGGTCGGGTCAGAGATAAAATTTTTTTTCCTTGGTCGGCATTTTGAATTTCAAATATTCGATTTCAGTTCTTAAAGAAATATCTTTAAAAAGTTTCGTAGTTCAAATTTCACGGAAATTAAATGATATGTATATTATTTATCATTCTTTCCACCATATTGGGTCCATCTTGGATCACAGAATTTTAAAAATCTAAGTTCAGATTCGGATTCAACGACCCTAAAAACCTATAGAATACGAACTTCTCTATAATTATCTCTCCGAGCAACCCTCCATCCTAAAAAAGTTAACTAAATATCTGCAAATATATCAATGGTAACCTATGATATTTTATACTATTTAATCTAAACTTATACATTAGGAAGTATAATAGAATTATGCTATTATAACAGCTTTAAAATGTCAAGTTGCATTATTTTTTTACATATGATTTTTATATATATTTTTTATATATGTTTTTCAGAAGATTATATATATTTTTTATATATGTTTTTCAGAAGATTCAGATGATTTATCAAAGATTGTTACATTTAATATTGATTGTCAATATTAATATTTTTACTTTAATATTTTAATAAAGAAAAGTAATAAAAAAGATAGTCTTATTATTTTATGAGAAAAATATTGTCAATAAATAATTATAATTAAATATGTAATAACATATATTTGTACAAAATGTCCGGTAACTCGCGAAGGAACCGTGATGTGCATGTAGAACGAATAAAAAACAGAAAAGTTATGTGCCATTTTATAATTTTCGCAATATTTATCTCGTAATTAATTAAAACGTATCAGCTAGTAAACACACGGGAGCGATTGTGTAGGCGGACTGTTTAGAGAAAGACATATTAATAGAACATAGACATATTAATAGACATATTAATAGACATATTATAAAGAAAATGACTTATTTCTGACGACTTCATATGATGAAGTCATATGATAACAGCTGATTTCGGGAGGCGGAGTAACGAACTACACTAAAAGAAAAATTATATTAAAATCAACAAATATTTCCTTGATGGGTGCCATTAACATATTTACTTAAATCTACATTCTCTTTATTTAAACCAAATATTGTTTATTTAAATCAAGCAAACAATATTTGACTTAAGTAAAGACAATGTTTATTTAAGTAAATATGTTAATGGCACCCATCAAGGAAATATTTGTTGATTTATGTAAATATGTTAATGGCACCCATCAAGGAAATATTTTTTGATTTTAATATAATTTTTCTCTTAGTGTATGACAGACGGCCGCGATCGAAAAATTATTATCCTCCGTAACAGGCTCACGTGGCTCTCTGAGGTAGGAACTTGATTAGGCGCAATCATTTCTACACCACCTTGCTGTACATAGCATGGTACGTCTTTTTTTGTAGTAATATCCCCAGTAGGCATAATCCACTTTCATTATTTAATATAAGAATTGTCCGACGTCCTCTCTTTCGTAGACAAAATTTGATCCTTTAAACAATATCGCGCGTTGCACGGTACGCTATATCCGGCGTAATGAAATTGAAGGTCGCAGCAATAGCTAAATGTATTTCGTTCTCTTAAGCATTACGCCGGTGCTCAATTAGATTTTTTATATGTAAAAAAAATCCAGTACATTCAAGTCTGGCGACAGCGCTGGCCAGATGATTGGGGGCCACGTTATCCTGCCTGGATAACGTGTTTAATGAATGTCGTACTTGCTCCGGTCTTTGCAGGAGCTCCGTCATGCTGAAAAATCATTTCAAGCTTTCGTGTGTCAGGAATTAACCAGTCTTTTCTACTTTTTCAGGATAGTTGGATATAAGATAACTGATACTTATAATGTTGATGAAATATCAAGACATATGAAAATATATAAATAGTATTTCATTAGTCTTACAAATGTTGAACGGCCCAATCTTTAAACAGGCTGTTCTTCCTATTCCACACGGAAAAAAAGATTTGTTTGAATTAACCAAATATCTGGTCGAATATGAACGATCCAGAAATTCCGATTGAAGTAACCCGAATTCTGTTTAAGGTAACAAGATTTTTGGTAGATTAACCAAACATGTCTGCTTATTTAACTAGACATGTCTGGTTAAATAACCAGATATGTTTGGTTAATCTACCAAAAATCTTGTTAACTTAAACAGAATTCGGGTTACTTCAATCGGAATTTCTGGATCGTTCATATTCGACCAGATATTTGGTTAATTCAACCAAATCTTTTTTTTTCCGTGCAGGAAGACGTAGAAGGGTTCGTGCGCAATTGGCTTATTGTGCTTCTATCTTTTTTTTTTCGAAGAAGGCATGAAAAAGCTTTTGATCCGATAGAAAAAATATGTCTCCGTTAAAAGAGATTATATAAAAAAATTATATAGAAAATATATAAAAGTATTTTTTGTAATTTTATATCGTTTCAATAAATTAAAAAAAACTCTGGTTTATATTTGATTCACCTACGTATGCGTGCGTGCGTGTATGCGTGCGTATGCATGGATGGATGCATAGGTGGTCGGGTGGATGTTTACGATGATAAGTTAAGGAACAAATAAGGACTGAAAGTCGTCATATCACACCCACTTACCCACACACGCACGCACGCACACATACAGACGCGAAAGAGATGTAAATCCGACCAAGCAACCTCCGCGTGGTACACCTTTGGTAATGCCGGCGGTACTGTAACTTTCAAGTTTTATTATTCGAAAAGTACTTAATAAAAAAATACGTTATTATAATATTTTGGAGAGCTCTCGAGATAAGCTACAAGCATATGCAATAAAAAGTAGGGGTTTCAATTAAAAAAAATTAACTTGACCTTGAAGGTCAAACTGAAGATCAAAGTCAAGGTCACCATCGTATACCTTTTTTTCAACCCTGCAACTTTTGTATTTAACATTTTTTCCAGGATGCACCTCTGACGAATTATTGAGTCGTTTCCATACTTTTCGAGGATCCTGTATGTTTCAAGATCTACCATCACGCCGCGAGATGTCAGAAGATTATTAACAGATTTGGTATACCCACTTGGAGACTGAAGAAGCCTACAGAACTCTCGTCCTACCCCGCTTCCCGCACACTCAGCCCCGATAACCTTTTTAATTAATATATTTAATTATTATTTTAATTAATATCTTAATTAACAATGCAAAGTTTGCAAAATGGTAGAGGACCAATTTAATTGGTGGACTTTTATATGAACTGTATGAGCATCGTGTCATTAATTTTTAGACACTTTATACATGCAGAATATCTGTTTAAAATTCTCTTCAGATAAGATAAATTTATCTCATTTTGATGTCGTTTCATCGAGTCTCTAGATATTTCGCGAAATATTCTCGAACGTTCGAGAAGATTTTAGCCAGCATAGCAACGCGCGGCAACCGGAGTTTTTCTATATATCCGGCGTTAGTCATATTGTCAACACCGCTTAATTCCGCGTGTTACTGTCCTTCGCAACCAATTGTATTAATAACACGCGAGGTTCAAGTGCTGACTGGCGTTTTCCTCTGGCCGATCTGGCAGAGACTGACAAGTGCGCGAACTAGCCGGGTCGAGATCGATTACAACGGCGTACGCGACTGTTACATTCGACGAGTGTTAGGGCAAGTGAGATGCTCATCGTCTATGCATCTCGAGCGATAAATACAAGAAAAAAAAAGATAAAGCTTCAGTTCGTTACATCTAATCTTCATTTCGTTAAATTTAATCACGGTCACAAAATACTACAGTAATTTTTATTTTAAAATACTTTCCATGTTTAACAGTCACGATGCATGAGATATCGTAGTATATCACGTCAAGTGAGAAGCACAACATAATTATCGCATCAATTACGTCATACTTTAATGCAATACTCGGAACTAATTAAACTTTCGACGCAATTCTCTAACAATAGCCTTACTTAGTATTTTAATTTTAATTTTAATTTTATATTTAATTTATTAGCTTATGTGTTACAACAGTAGTGCTTTCCAATGTACACATAATAAGTGCGCAACAATGTTCAACGATAACGATATTCTTGTTCAAAGTGATAGAATAAAGTGACACAGCTCTCTTTACGACTTATCTTGGCAAGCAATGCAATTGACCTGCGCGGTACTCAATCTCAGGAGTGTAAGTTTCTTCATTTTTGTGGGGAAATTACCCAACACTGAAAGAATTTAATCGAAACTAATTTTTTATGTGTAGATTTTGAATTAATTATTATGTAACCGACTTATTACGTATTAGATTTATAAAATTATAATTACAACATGACAATAGAGTTTACCCATGAGGTACTATGGACAATACGCTTTTTTTAAGTCTTAAATATAAAACTTCAAATTTTAACTCTAGTTTTCTAAGTCTCAAACCTATATTTTAACTCAAGTTTTCTAAGTCTCAAATCTGATGCATTGGTCATATAATAATTAATTTAAATACACAAGAAATTCATTTCGATCAGGTTCCTTTGGTGTTTGAAAAGCTTCCCCATCAAAATTATAAGATTCACACTCCTGAGATTGCATCAGTTATTTGCTTTACCCTGCTCGGATAACAGGAGCAAAAAAGATAACTCGACATCGACTTTAGAGTCATCTCACAAGTTGAAGTGATTGTAAGCACTCTTTTAATATACTACGTTGTATTAAACAACTTTGCGAATTTGTGAACTTTGTTCGCAAAAAGCAGCTTATATATACGCAAACTAATTGGATAGATTATTCAGTGAAGTGAATTCGTGAAGCTACAGACAAATTTTCATAAGTTCTTCAATTCGAAATGTTTCGATATAATGCAATGTGTACCAGCAAAGTGGGTCTTAAAGGTAAAACTGTAATTGTAACTGGAGCAAATACTGGCATCGGCAAGGAGGCGGCCCGAGATTTTTACGCAAGAGGTAATACTATACCTAACGTGTCAAAAGAATACAACGATTAAAGTTATCGACTGATGTTACGGTTTTTCACCCAAAGTAAATGGCTTTGTGAGAAATTCATACGTAGAATTAAGTCTCTCGTCTTTGTTCTTTCTCCTCGTAGATTGTTTTTTTTAATCTTTTACATCCCAGCAAACAAGATGATATCAAATGACGTCTTAATGACGTATTATTAATGTCTCTAATGTCACTAATACATCATTAAAACCTCATTTAACGTTATTTTGTTTACTAAGATCTGGTTGTTTTATTTTATAAATTTAATGTTATTTTCTAACTCATTAAAATCGATGGCTAGACCAATAAGGTTAGCAAAAAAATAATCCGAATCGAAATTTTGATACTACTTTGACGCTCTTAAGGATAGTTAAGGATAGTTGCGCCTACTTAGACGGTTTATAGCCTAGGTTGACGATTTGATATTCATTAATTTCTCTTTTGAACCTTTAACTCTACCTTGTCAAAATTTTGATGCTACTTTGACGCTCTTAAAAATATATGAGCCTACTTAGATAATCTATAACCTAGGTGAAACCTATTTTGACGATATTGACGCTCATTTCCGAGTCGAAATTTTGACTCTATGTTGAACCTTAAATTCTACACCGCAGTAGAAGTTAAGATAGTGAAGTAGGTTTAATTCTAATGATATAATTTATTCCTACTTTGATCCTGATGATGTCTGAAATATATGCAACAAATAAAATGCATGTTTTGTATGCTATTTGACGTTTTTGTTTTATTTATTAAATTTTTTAAATATTTCTATAAAATACATATATTCTATGTAGGAGCTAAAATTTCAATAAAGATTCGCAACTGAACCTACTTTGCTTCTTAAGATCCTATTATTATACAATCTACTTTGACGCTAAAGAAAACGAAAGCGGAAATTTCAGACATCATTAGGATCAAAGTAGGAGTAAATTATATCATTAGAATTAAACCTACTTTACTATACATTGCAAAAATCAACACACATAGGTTTTGATGAGTTAATAAAAGGATATTAGTTGAAGTTACACTCGCGTGTGTGTATACGTAACAAAAATGGATATAAAATATATCTAACTAAAATTTCTATTTAGGTGCTAGAGTAATTTTGGCCTGTAGAAACCTGGACAAGGCCAAAGAAGCAGTTGAGGACATAAAAAACAATCCACCCAAAAAGTAAATTTATCAAATCATATCGGCATATAACCGTGAAAGTTTATCTATTGCTTTGTCTTTCCGATCTTTTCTTCTTGCAAAAATTATATTCTTATTTCGACTAAATGTTTGTCAACTAAGATACAACGACGATATTAAGATCACGACAATTTTTTAGTATGAAGACGGACGTGTATCTAAATTTGGTGGGCGAGCTCGCGGTTTACCACTTGGATCTTTGTGACTTGGAAAACGTGAGAGCCTGTGCAAAAGACTTAATAGAGAAGGAGGCTGCCATTCATATACTCGTCAATAATGCCGGAGTGGTTGGTCCTTACAAGAAAACGAAAGATGGATTCGAGGTGACGATACAGACAAATCATCTTGCTCCTTTTTTATTGACACTCTTGCTGCTGCCAAAAATACGATCCAGCTCACCCAACTGCAGAATAGTCAACGTTTCATCACTTGCACATCACTGTGTGTAAAAAGCGATACTGATACTACTTTAAGAGAGAATTTAAATTCAGCTAACGTTTTTACTTATAATATTCAAAGCGTGTTGAAAAATTGCAGACGGTGACATCTATTTCGATGACATCTGCCTGGAGAATTCTTACGGACCATTAAAAGCTTATATGCAAAGCAAATTGGCGAACGTCTTATTTACGAAGGAACTCGCGCGTCGATTAAAAGGCAAGTATGAAATCAGAAATATATCGAAAAAACACGAATAATTATTACCGTTAATCAAGTAGCCTAAATTGTCTAGGTATAGCTTCCGGAATGGAGTCGTGTCTTGAATCAGCGATATGCCGACGTTTCGCAAATGTTGCAGTTTGCATCATCAGGGCTGAGAACTCTGATACTGAGCTCCCTTGGGTAAAGGTAGTCCTTATATGCCTCCTCCCCCCCTTTGTGTAGATGGTGTTTAGGGAGTAGGGGAGTAGGGGACGAGGCTTGAATCCAGCCAATCAGCGTATTTTAATTGATCAGCTGGTCAATTAAAAAACCGGGAGGGCAGTATGCCAAATAGAGTTTACTTGCATACCTTT